TTTCTTCATCCTCAGCAAGACCTGTTTTATTTTCCATTACAGTAATTCCATGTTCCAATGAAATCTAACTCTTCAATTTTAATATCAGCGGTCGGATCCTGAAATATGGAAGTGAAACTCAGTAAATTTTTACAGTCAAGTAATACTATAACTTCTATTCGTAAAATTTTACAAGATTTGTTTCCAGTTTCGGACAAATTCACAATATTACTACATAACAACTTAGTAATGTAAGCAGTAAGGGCCCTCTCCTAATTTTAATCTGTAGAAGTGCACGTGCAAATAACGCGCGGCTTCAATGCAAAAATACGTGTGTGCTCTTGGCGCGCGCTAAAACTCTGCGCTGAAAATATTGGTTTGGTACGACAACGAGAGTTTTAAAATTCCCGCCAATTTCAAACTCCAGAAAAAGAATCCGAAATTTTGGGACAGCCTAAAACATATTCTGATTAATGCTTTTCGACTTTATTTGTCCGTAAACTGACAACTACAGCAAATCCATCTTCTCTACGAACTGGGCCCGAGTTACTTGTTTTAAAATACAGCAAATCCATCTTCTCTACGAACTGGGCCCGAGTTACTTGTTTTAAAATACAGCAAATCCATCTTCTCTACGAACTGGGCCCGAGTTAATTGTTTTAAAATACAGCAAATCCATCTTCTCTACGAACTGGGCCCGAGTTACTTGTTTTAAAATACAGCAAATCCATCTTCTCTACGAACTGGGCCCGAGTTACTTGTTTTAAAATACAGCAAATCCATCTTCTCTACGAACTGGTCCCGAGTTACTTGTTTTAAAATACAGCAAATCCATCTTCTCTACGAACTGGGCCCGAGTTACTTGTTTTAAAATACAGCAAATCCATCTTCTCTACGAACTGGGCCCGAGTTACTTGTTTTAAAATACAGCAAATCCATCTTCTCTACGAACTGGGCCAGAGTTACTTGTTTTAAAATACAGCAAATCCATCTTCTCTACGAACTGGGCCCGAGTTACTTGTTTTAAAATACAGCAAATCCATCTTCTCTACGAACTGGGCCCGAGTTACTTGTTTTAAAATACAGCAAATCCATCTTCTCTACGAACTGGGCCCGAGTTACTTGTTTTAAAATACAGCAAATCCATCTTCTCTACGAACTGGGCCCGAGTTACTTGTTTTAAAATACAGCAAATCCATCTTCTCTACGAACTGGGCCCGAGTTACTTGTTTTAAAATACAGCAAATCCATCTTCTCTACGAACTGGGCCCGAGTTACTTGTTTTAAAATACAGCAAATCCATCTTCTCTACGAACTGGGCCCGAGTAACTTGTTTTAAAATACAGCAAATCCATCTTCTCTACGAACTGGGCCCGAGTTACTTGTTTTAAAATACAGCAAATCCATCTTCTCTACGAACTGGGCTCGAGTTACTTGTTTTAAAATACAGCAAATCCATCTTCTCTACGAACTGGTCCCGAGTTACTTGTTTTAAAATACAGCAAATCCATCTTCTCTACGAACTGGGCCCGAGTTACTTGTTTTAAAATACAGCAAATCCATCTTCTCTACGAACTGGGCCCGAGTTACTTGTTTTAAAATACAGCAAATCCATCTTCTCTACGAACTGGGCCCGAGTTACTTGTTTTAAAATACAGCAAATCCATCTTCTCTACGAACTGGGCCCGAGTTACTTGTTTTAAAATACAGCAAATCCATCTTCTCTACGAACTGGGCCCGAGTTACTTGTTTTAAAATACAGCAAATCCATCTTCTCTACGAACTGGGCCCGAGTTACTTGTTTTAAAATACAGCAAATCCATCTTCTCTACGAACTGGGCCCGAGTTACTTGTTTTAAAATACAGCAAATCCATCTTCTCTACGAACTGGGCCCGAGTTACTTGTTTTAAAATACAGCAAATCCATCTTCTCTACGAACTGGGCCCGAGTTACTTGTTTTAAAATACAGCAAATCCATCTTCTCTACGAACTGGGCCCGAGTTACTTGTTTTAAAATACAGCAAATCCATCTTCTCTACGAACTGGGCCCGAGTAACTTGTTTTAAAATACAGCAAATCCATCTTCTCTACGAACTGGGCCCGAGTTACTTGTTTTAAAATACAGCAAATCCATCTTCTCTACGAACTGGGCCCGAGTTACTTGTTTTAAAATACAGCAAATCCATCTTCTCTACGAACTGGGCCCGAGTTACTTGTTTTAAAATACAGCAAATCCATCTTCTCTACGAACTGGGCCCGAGTTACTTGTTTTAAAATACAGCAAATCCATCTTCTCTACGAACTGGGCCCGAGTTACTTGTTTTAAAATACAGCAAATCCATCTTCTCTACGAACTGGGCCCGAGTTACTTGTTTTAAAATACAGCAAATCCATCTTCTCTACGAACTGGGCCCGAGTTACTTGTTTTAAAATACAGCAAATCCATCTTCTCTACGAACTGGGCCCGAGTTACTTGTTTTAAAATACAGCAAATCCATCTTCTCTACGAACTGGGCCCGAGTTACTTGTTTTAAAATACAGCAAATCCATCTTCTCTACGAACTGGGCCCGAGTAACTTGTTTTAAAATACAGCAAATCCATCTTCTCTACGAACTGGGCCCGAGTTACTTGTTTTAAAATACAGCAAATCCATCTTCTCTACGAACTGGGCCCGAGTTACTTGTTTTAAAATACAGCAAATCCATCTTCTCTACGAACTGGTCCCGAGTTACTTGTTTTAAAATACAGCAAATCCATCTTCTCTACGAACTGGGCCCGAGTTACTTGTTTTAAAATACAGCAAATCCATCTTCTCTACGAACTGGGCCCGAGTTACTTGTTTTAAAATACAGCAAATCCATCTTCTCTACGAACTGGGCCCGAGTTACTTGTTTTAAAATACAGCAAATCCATCTTCTCTACGAACTGGGCCCGAGTTACTTGTTTTAAAATACAGCAAATCCATCTTCTCTACGAACTGGGCCCGAGTTACTTGTTTTAAAATACAGCAAATCCATCTTCTCTACGAACTGGGCCCGAGTTACTTGTTTTAAAATACGACAAAGTTAACTGCTGAATGTTCCCGGTCAAAAATTAATTATAGTTTATATTAAAATATTGTCTATTGTCTATGTTTTACTATAATGCTGGGAGCCTTGTTGTAAATAATAGGGTACATACCATTCCTTGAAAGTCGTTATTTCGGAGTGAGCAATCATTTTGTTGACTAGCGAATCTAAATTGAAATAGTCGAATATCACTCAATTTCAGTTGCAGGTCGACATCCTTAAAATTAGAGAGCAAATAATTTTATTTTGTACTCTACTTCAGTCAATATAAATAGAAATTACAGCAATTTGAAGTAACAGCATATCAAGCTATATCATACATAATTATGAAAGCCTCGCAGAGATCTCGATTAAATCTGTAAACGTACATTTAACGGTAAGATATATAGATAGCGCGCAATATATGCGCACGCATAATACCAATATGGCTGCCACACAAAGCTACAAACTGGAACAAGAAATGAAAATTGTGAATTCAACCAGCTTGGATACTATTATCCAACGCGACATTGGTTTGGGCGCATTATCGACACGTTTTAAATGCGCGGAACATTTTTGTGCGCGGCACTAGCATTTTAAATTTTCAAAATTCAAATCATAGCCAGAGTTATGGTTATTTTTCAAGACAAATTTTGAGGCAAATTTTACGTGTAAATTATTCATTTTTCATTCATGATCACTCATAATTTGAACAATTTACCTTGGATTGAATTGAACTCTTCAGTATTCGATGATTAAAACAATTGTTTTAAGAACAGAGTAGTTTTAAAGCTAAACATTCGCAATTTGTCTTAACAGGAGTCTTGGGAGAATTATAAAAATGAAATTTAAACGTTTTAGCGGCGCATGAAGCCCGCGGCGTTCGCTGGGGTGAGTGAAGGTATTATGATTTATATTTTAAAACCATTACTTCATTAGTAAGCTACTTTTTAAAGGCACCAACTAATTAAATTGTTAATGTCTACACATTTGATATGAGGGATTAATGGGAACAAAACTTTAAGAAAGACTGACTGATTAATGTTTGTTGTATTTATAAATCCGCTTTTATCCGAATTCATAACTGAACAATGTGTTACTATCTTGTAGATTCATGATTTCGAAACTATTCTTACAGGCGATTACAATTTAACAAATGTATTATGGGAAATTGGTAGCATAAATGGGAATATTACGAGCAATAATCAGTTTCTTTTAAATTAACACAAATACATGGATGATTTTAATGATAGGGTTTTTAATTGGTATTTCATGAAACAATTAGAAGTCGGCTTGTAAATGAATGAATAAATAAATTCAAAGCTTGCGAAGGATATTCCCCGGGAAAGTCTTCTTGATCAGGTCATGTGTACAAAGGATGCTTTTGATATTTGTTTTTATGGGGTACGATTTCCTATGTTATTGGAGTTATTGAATTTTAGTGTGAAAAAAATTGACTGGGATTATAGTTCTACCGAAGATGTTCAAGATAAATAGAGCAGCCATCTTCTATTTGGCGGAAATAAGATGGACAGTGGCGTAACGCCATCCTAGGGGACAATTTTGAAAAACTTTACCACGGTACTGGCATTTCCTCTAAAATCATCATTGTCCGGGGCGTTTAAAGGGGAGGCTCCAACAGGCAATAGTACGCCACTAAAGATGACTTTGGTAAATTGTGGTTTATGGTGAATTGGGGTGCAGTAGATCAGGGTTTTACTGTATATTGTATTTGATTTGATTTTTGATTTATATAATTTAATGATTAAAGAAGTAAGATGATGAATATAATAAATTTTCTGTGACCATTTAACTATTACTGAAATTACATAAATATTCACCATGTACATTTATTTACATAGTGAAACTTTCAGAACCAAACTGTATGTTCATTTCATGTATAGTAACTTTGCTTTAGTTTAATCTATTTTGTTAGAAGATTTCTTTCACTAAAACTCTTCTCTCTATAGATATGAAGCAAGTTGTTTTCATTCTTGCCTTGGTGGCAGTGTGCCACTGCAACTTGTTTGCATCAGAAACACTACTCAAACTCTCTGACATCCTTAAAGCAATGAACCTTGAGGTAACCGTGTTGTTGTTGATGTTTTTTGTTGTTGTAGAGGTAGCTAAAGACGATTTACACATGTATTTTGAAAGCTCCTGCTAAACAAACTTTCAGTATCACTTTCGTATCACTCATATGTTTTAAATAATTCACCTCCTAGCTACAGCTTATCTTCTAACAATTCAAAAATTCAGTTCTTTGCCAAAGAGCATTGAATGAAACGTAATATCTTGGTGATGCAATATATCAGAAGTAACCTGGTATAAATAATGTAAATTCGCATCCCAGTAGTAATAATGCATTGTAGTACTAATTATCAATGTTTCAGGAGATGGTGCAAAGCAGTACGGCTCACAAATTTGGTGCAAGTTTCTTCAAGTACTACTCTGACGACCTCCTCCCTTTACAGGTACAATGCTGTAGAATATAATACCTTCTAAAGTAGAAATACAGCCAAACTACCATTTACTGTGTGAATATTAATCTTTATTTGTTAACATTTTGTTTCACCCAATTTTTATTCTTCTTTTGTCAAATTTGATAGAAAGTGGGGGGGGGGTGTAACCCAAAAAAACCCAACTCCTACCCAAGAAAAGGTAATACTGGGATTGGGTTTTTTTGGGTTTTTTTGGGTTTTTTAAACAAAATTTAAACAAAATTCTAGCCATTTCATTAATTGTATTGAATGTGAATTATTTCCCACTGAGTCTTACCTACGTGTTGTTCTCATGTCTTAACTTAATAGATAGTTTACATAGTATATAAGTGTGTTTATATTGATAGTATGTTATCACGATAGCAAACAGGATGTCTCGTTCATCGAGATATAATCCATATGAATGCACAAAGTGGAAATGTGCCAAATGCGGCAAATGTGTTCTCCTGTCATGGAAGGAGGCTATGACGAAGGTCAAGGCAAGTCAAAGCACATGACTTAAATTACTTGACTTAAGGCGGCTTCAGAGTCCGACTCTCGATGATGTGTCTCCAAAGCTTTCTGTCCGCCATAAGCTCCTGAATCTCCCCAGTGTTCTTGAGTCCAGTGTCACTTATTAGGTTATCGACGAAGGTGAGCGGTGGTCTATCCCTCCCTAGGTTCCCAAAGGAGAAGTTGGTGTGCTGCCAGGTCATCATGTCGCTGGATGTGCCCAGCCAACCTCATTCTTCTGGCCTGTATCTTCGAAATAACTCTTGGGAGTGATCCAAAGACCTCCTTGTTGGTGCGATGTCCTCTCCAGTCCACGTTTAGGGCCATCCGAAGCATTCTACTGTAACATCCGTCTATTCTTTTCTTCAAAGATTCTGTTATTGTCCACGTTTTCGTTCCATACAGGAAGATTGATTCAACCGTAGCTTGAACAGACGGATCTTTAAATCTCGGCACAAATTGGACCTCCATATAGCCTACATTTTGTGGTAGGCAGCCCATGCCTTGGCCTTGCGTAACCTAAAGTCGTGCTCCGTTGTACTAAAATCCTCAACTTCTTCTAAGGCATGTCCGTCTTTAGAAATTATTGTGTGTGGCTCCTCTCCTACTAAATTAACTGTAAGATCCTTGGTTTTAGACAAAAGAGATTTCCTGCCTCCTCATCAGATGAGGCTTCTGTAGGACTGTAGCATGTGATGACAGTGAGCCTGGGCTTTCCATTAAGAGACATGGTGAGGATCCTTGCGCTGTAAGATTTTATAACTTTATAAGAATTATAGCCTCATATGCTGTCCTCGTCAAGATGATTCCTACTCTCCCATTAGAAGCGCCAGCTGCGTTTCTCCACGCAGATGAGATCACTGGATGAATCCCTTTGTTCATCTTTTCTATTCTGGTATTCTCAGCAATCAGCATGCACTAGTGCACTACCCGATGTTCGATTCTTGCAGGGCAAGGATGTGCAGCTTGCTTCGATAAAATAGTTCTTCAAGTTCGATGTGTTCTCTGGCTGTTCTTATGTTCAACGTGCCAACCTGAGCAGCCCTTTTACATAATACAATGCAATTGATGTTCATATTTTTTTGATGTTTTCTTGTTTGACTTTCTGTAGAAATAGGTTGTCGTGTTGTGGAGACCGAGTCATCAGCTTCTGTAATAGCAGCGTAATTACCCCGGCAACCACTTCCACTAGAAAAATAAGGGGCTTTAACCCTTCAGCTGTTGATAAACTTCATCTTGACTTTTCAGTTGGCTCACAATCCTGTGCAGTCCCCTGCACATTGGCAGTGGATTGTGTTCTTAACTCTTGCGCCACTAAAAGGTTAAGGGCATCCGCTTGAACAATAGCCATATTTAACTCTCACCATAATATCTTGGGTATCTTGAGCATGTAATTGCACGAACATATGCTATACAAGACAAATGTGACCTTCCTTTTTCTACCCAACAGCATCAGTTGTAATCCTTACCCAATCGTCACCTGCTCCAGTGTGGGACTTTCCGATTTTATCCCAAAGCATAAGGAGGTTAGAGTGAGAACAGAGCTACACTTTAGCGGGGACTAACCCTTCCCCTGACTACCTCGTTACCCGGTACCCCGGGCATAGGGAGCCGTATCCTGACTACCAGAGTGTGGTCCAGTCTAGCTGGGTCATAGTAGACTAGGTTGAACAGGGTAACAGCCAACACCTCTTTAGCTACTGTGCTATCCACAGTAAAGATTTACGAGTCTCAAAGCCTCTTGTAGACCAAGAGTTAAGGAGTCAATAGATCAAATTATTGAACTTCCAGGGCTCAATGTCTCCCGTCAACCGTCCTGCCTTTAGCCTGGACCCCCTGTCCAGTATCCAGTCTTCACCACGCGGAGGTAGTGGCTTTCATCATGCTGTCCGATGAGTGTCTGGAAGAGGGCACCAGCAGGATACTCCTTTTCAAAGTTCGGGAGCCTCACATCAGACCAGGGCTTCCACCCAGCTTCTATCCAGCGGTGACGACTTGGGCCACCTAAGCTTCACACAACCATTGAAAGACCACCTGCCTACGTCTGTAAAACTTTTGATGATGCGATTATTACAGTCGAGGGTCTGATGCTGTACATTCTCAGTGTAACAGCTGACAACAGTTATCAACACTTTATGCCCTGGCTGTTTACATCCGATGCCTGTGAGCAAACTTTATGCTTTCCTGCGCATAGGCCTCCATGCAGGCATTAGAACTAATCTGTGTTCTAAGGATATGTTGGTTGGCATGGGCAAATCAAACCGTTCCCTCGAGCTTGATGCACTCGGCAAAAGTTTGATCCCTGTAACAGTTGCCCACTCTCGCAACAAGCTTGTTATACCGCATCCGAAAGCAGAGAAACTATTTTGAGGTAAAGATACTTCAATCCCAAGATTGTTCCAAGCTATGAAGAAGGGAGTCTCAAGGGGTAGAGAACTCATTCAAGAACACTGTAACTTTGAAGGAGAGGCTTTCCAACCATCTTCTGACGGAGCAGAGGGTGACGAAGCGGAAACAGATGATGACGAAGAGGAAGTGGAGGATATTGACTCATCAGAGGAATGGGCGAAAATAGTAACTGTGTATGGTGATGCTCTGCATCATGATACGGCTGTTGAGGTTTGCCTCAATGGAGGGCGAGATCGAATTCCATCCCAGTCAAGATTTTAGCGACTCCAGGGCCATAAACAAGTGAAGATATCACTTAATATCACATGTGATCATGCAGCTGATGGTAACTGCAAGATTCTTTCAGTTGGAGATAGAGCATGGTTTCTCGTTAAGCGGATGATCAGGAAAACGGAAACAGAGATCGTGAAGGTGAGAAGAAAGGCTTTATTCCTCTCGTACCGGTTGCGGTCAGGGTTGGGGTCATTAGTGAGTTGCGTCCCTACTAACTCAATTTGCCATGGCCATCGAAGTGAGCATTACATATGGCTGATATCATATCTGGATGGCCAACTTCTTCTGAGCACATCAGTGAATAAAATACTGCTTTTGGGTTATATTTAAGCGATTATATCTATTGTGATGTTGTAGTGATGAACCACAACAGTGATGTTGTACTGATAAATGTTTTGCTAGGTGCCTACATGATTTTATTTCCTTCAAATAAAAAATTTGTAAAAAACCCAAAAAAACCCAAAAAAACCCAACTCCTACCCTGAAAAAGGTAATACTGGGATTGGGTTTTTTTGGGTTACACCCCCCCCCCCAGAAAGTGAATCAATACATTAATTAATCACATGTAATCAATTAATTGATTGGCGCAGTTCCAACTGTGGAAAGAGCACGCTGGTCGAGACTACGAGAGTAGCGAGGAGCACTCTGAGAGGCAAGGAATCTGGTCCAAGAACGTGAAGCTCATCCACGAGCACAACCAACAGAACAAGTCCTACTCTCTTGCTATCAATCACCTTGGTGACTTGGTTAGTTTTCAGTTTAACCAATCAGGAAAATGTATTCACGCCACGTGATATTAAGTCAACAATCATAGTGTAATCTTTAAAGCCTTTGTTCTTTTGAGGGTTGCTCCTTTTAACACAATGATTACAAAATCTTATGTAGTGATAAATGTAATATTGATATATACTTTGTAGGATACTGCCTTTTGTTGATCTAACCACGTTAATTTATTCAGCTATTTTTAGTTACATTTATCTTCAGACTCATGATGAATACAAGAACATGCTGTTAGGAACAAAGATTAACATGAAAGGAAAGGTAAAAACACAAAAATATTTATTTATTTTTCTGCTTTAAATCTCGTATATAACTGCGTTTAGAATTAACAGTTTGTGATGGTCACTTTGCAGAAAAACAGTTACAATATTACAATTATATATATATATATAGCACAGTAAAGAGATAAGTTCTGCGTTTCTATTGGTCGAGAAATGGAGCATACAACTTTTTCGCCCTGTCAAACAATCTAGATTTTGTTTTTGACATATTTCACATTGCACTGCTAAGCTGACACCTTTTTATATGAGTGTCGTGGTAACGCAATGTTTACAGTGATGTAGACTGCCGTGCGATGTGTACAAGCTAAGCAGGTATCCTGTATTTCTGTCCTGTACAATTATTCACATATTTAATTATTCACATATTTTGTTCACATACTTAATGTAATGCAATACCAAGTACACTCACTTGTTGTTACCTTTCCAGTACAGTAAATGTAAATATGACCCATAATTTCGTAGCTCAATGTCGTATATTTGTTGTAATAAGAATTAAATCTAAATTTTAAAGGTAAAAATGACAATTAAACAAATAAAAGTATTCATTGTATTGGTCTTTCTACTCCAGTAGCAGGTTGTAGTTGAGTATTCAGTGCATTGAGGTAATAATCGACCCAAAACGTAATCTTCTTCCAGCCTCTAAAAAGAAACCCTACTATAATCAAACTGACTTAATAAAAGACTCTCCCAAATCCGATGGGTTCCAAACTAATAAACCAGCTGTTGAAGGTAATCATGGATCTACATCAGCCAGTAAACTTCCCCCCAATTCGATTTATTTGCCAGTTTAACAGATATGCTGTTCAACAAATTACTGCAAACTCTTTATACTCAATTTAGAAAAGAAACTCAAAAGCTACGATCACTTGAAGCAGCTTCAAAACCCTGATGTTCCCCCCCCCAGCCGCCACCCTAAAATGTTTCCAAAGATGTTCCCGAAACCAAGTCCATTGGGGAGACACACAGCCCAAAAAACATTAATCAATCTAAATCATGGACCATCGTGCTGATATCAAGCCTAAAGTAGGGTCCATAAATGTCAAAAATAAGTATGAAAAACCACCCCTCCCATTTGAAGTCATCTCAGCAAAAAACTACAATTCTCGAAACCTTAAATCTAACACTCCCGCACCAAAACTCACAGGGGATCCACCAGTTTCTCCACAACTTCCACTTTGCTCCAGAACGTTATGAACACTAATCTATCATCTAAAAACAAATACCAGATACTAATTTACGGAAGCTCCTGAAAAAAACCTTCTGGCAAAAGATAAGAATATTGATGCTGAACAAAGTAGCAGAAAATAAAACCAACAGAGAAATCCCGGAAACAATGTTACAAAATAGTCAGAGTGGAGCCTAACCGAGGTATGGGAGCCAAAATATATGTGGGCCTCCGCCATATGCTTCATACCACTCACCATGCATATCCGTAATGAACGGTATCACATCGAATTATTATCATGAATCAGCAGGCAATAAACCAGCAAGCATTACATCACGTGCTTAATGAATCACCAAGCAATGCTAAGAATCCAGGATGCCAACCCACTTTATGGCCAGCAGACCAATGGTGAGTCGTACAATGAGCTTCCCTCACAGATGATAAGCGAACTAAAAGTAAAGACTAAATCAAAGTCTAAACAACGAGCCAAAAATCCCAAGCAGCCTGCAATTGTTATACCAGCGATAAAGGGAAGGTGCGAATCGACGGTTCATCCAAACCAACATTGTTAGTGTCACTTGGGATTATGGTGAAAAAAAAGGTTCTTTCTAAATCCTCTAAAGCTTTCAAGTGATCCAAATTTTGACATCAGGCGATTCAATTCTGAAAACTTCTCAAATTCCAAACCTAGGAACTATTCCTGACATAGATATAATTCAATTCAGAACACTATCCCAGTACCCAAACCATATCATCAAAACAAAGTAATACATTGCTAAGTAATCCTCCATCAGTTTTGCATCATCTTCCCAATTCAGTAACTCCATGATTCCAGTTCAATATCTTACCCCCAGCACCTTAATGTATTGTGTTTTCCTCTTATCCAAAATGATCAAGACAAAACGAGATCATAAAAGTAGTAATGAGCGTGAGAAAGTGGGAGGGCGTTTTATCTCCATCGGAAGTAGATGCCAAAAGTGCAGCAGATACTGTTCATCTCCACAGAAAAATGAGGAACCCTCCCAAGCAAGCAGAAAAAGAATCCAGTCCCGAAAAAGAGGAAAAGACAACAATCTGGCACCGCACATGAACGACAGATATCCTGGTAACCTCTCTCAGAATTTCAAAACAGGGCATTCAGTTAAAGCTTCAAACATTATCAAATCAGAACCACACACTCCCGTCATAACATTGTCTGAGTTCTGCTGGAAACGGTGCCGATTGTTCAAACATTCCTGTTGTCTTCATGGCACATCCTCATTGGGCTCAGTTTCAACCTCCTGGGCCAGGTCAAAACCTAGCTTTCCTATTGATTCATACCCATGGACGGTCAAATTCCACAGATAGCTGATGTAGCCAGTCAAGTAGAGGGTAGGAAAAGTTCATTGATAGTTAGCATCGTGTGTGCAGGTTTATAAATCATTAAATTACAATGATTTTCTTGAAATTTAAATTGAAAATTACTTAAACACCTTCTCGCAATAAGAATATGGAAAAGCAACACTGGCAAAATTAGAATTTGGGCCTCTTTTTTTAGGAATCACAATTTGCTATGATGGCCAAAAGACGTACGATGCATTTAATTTTCCTTTGATTAGTATATTAGGGCACTGACTGCATTTTTCTCAACAAACTCTAAAAAAAAACCGAAATAAAAGTGGTTTTCATTGCAGTTCGCTCACATTAGATTCCCATTTTGTCCTCCATGTTAACATTCGCCTTATTGTGTCGTGAAGACATCGGATCAGTCCGATGACACCCTCCAGTGATTCAACATTTTTTGGTTCTATCTTGACTCTTTACTGTCCTCTTACATTTAATGTGATAACTCTGCATGATTTGCAAAGTTTTATAACTAGTTTTCATATAAGAACTAGGCTGATTTAGCTGCTGGCTGTACTTAATGACTTTTCATATATCTTATACCCACTATTTCATCATGCCTTCCTTTAAATGCGCAATAATCCTATTCAATCATTTTGGTGTGAATTTTTTGCACAGCGTAGAAAGTAAATGTTAACTATACTTGATTTATTGAAAAAATTTTGTGTATTATAATTATATATTGAACCTAAAAAGTAGTGAAGTAGACATATTGCAACAACCAGTGTTCCTCTATAATTGTTAAATCTGGATTCTTATGTGGTACGTTTTTAGTATATTTTTCTAAACATTATAAGTTCATCAATGGGTTGCTTTTTATTAATTTAATACATTAATTATGTTGATTTTGTGAAAGCCAGGACACCAGAAATCGCTGGATTAATAATTATATCATATTATGGCCTCCTCAAGCTCGTCATGACATCTTTTGAGACTTTTCTGTTGAAAAACAAAACCCTCCTATCATATTTGTTTATGCTATGATTAGATGGATATAATGTTAACCATCTCTCTTGATCAACTCTTATCTTTTACCACTAGTTACATCGTGCCTACAACATTAATTCTCGTAGATTGTTTCCTCTAGGTCGGTAAATGATCGTAATAATGTATGAATACGGAATCAAAAAGCTTTGAATTTTTCAGAAGCTGTCCTAGTATCTATAAAGCTGTCTGGGCAGTCAATCTATGAATTATTGACCAGGTGATCACATTTGTAATAATTCATGTAAGCAAAATTACAACGCTGACAACTCCTTAGATAATTCAATTTGTACGCTTATCTTCAGATTTTCAAGAATGTCCCGCTTTTTGCTGTTTTTTGAGGTTCATTTCATATGTTATAATTATTGTTTTAAGGAGCATAGTAGAGTTAAAGGGGGCCCCTATTTTAACCGGAAAAGGAAATGTAGTACCCGTAAATCAGGGTTTAGACCTTGAGTCCCCTCACATGGTTACTCTCCGCACCTCACTCTTCTCCAATTAGGGATGTACAAACCCTGACAAGCTCGCTTGATATCCGGACCCATTATAAGTCGTAAGTCAAAGAATCACGTGATATCAAACTCAATTGAAGACATTTTCCAAAAATTGGGGGTGAATGTATGAAGAAGGAAAGAGAAGGTATGATAAAACGGTTTCGTTAAATTGGGGCTCGTAAAAATGGGGTTTGCTGTGGACTGTATGTTTTCAATGCCCTTTTTTTATTATATTATAGGTATATTATCAACTCAGCTTGCTAATATTATCATCATTAAAAGTCCTTGTTTGAATTTGTGAATTAACGGATGTCTTTACAATAACTGTTTCTTCACAAAAATTTAATAGTTAGGTTTTGACTTAGTGTTTGTGAAAATGATTTTTTGAATTTGATTGAAATAAAAAGAGCCAAATACTTAAATCGATTCACGTTTTCCATTTACAATATTTATTGAATTCAATAATTTGCCTGGTCAATGCGAAATTATTTCAATTATTATTTTGCTTTAATGCAGATATTTTGTTTGATTGCTCATGCTCTCTGGTAGTAGTCTATTTTCTGTCAAATTGTAACACAGATTGCTTGTACATACCAAAAGGCTTCACCAAATGCAACGTCGAAGAAAATTACAACTGTCTGAAATGTCAAATTTTAATTTGACCAATATGGTTCAAATCAATTCAGGATTATACTGCAATTTTGATTTATGGCAAAGTTGTCTCGTTTTTATAAAGTTTTTGCAATTCTCCATGCAGGTCTGTCCATCACAAGAGCCGAAGCTTTTCAACTTCTACAGGTAGGATAAAACTCCTTTCTATTATATTCCACACAAAACCTTATCCTATTCACTGTATTCTCCACCGGTTCGAGGTGTCCAATTTTTGAGAACAATTTGCCTAAAGCTTGAAAAGTTGCTTTTAAGAAAATAAAAATTATCAGCTTATCGTAGGAGCACTGGATAGCTATGTCTAGTAGGTATATCCAATGAACATATTAGTTCATGAATCAAATATTTTGTCCAAAACGTGTGTGATGTGGGGAATGCGACAACTAAACTTATGGTAAATATTACTTTATTGACTAAACTTCCTCTTAACCTGTTTTTCTTTTCAGGTATCTCCAACTCTCCACACGATGAAATCAAAGCCCGCATATCGTAATTAGCCCTTAAATTATTCACCCCGATAAAAATAAGGACCAGAAGGAAGCTAAGCGTCTTTTCAAAGGATCAACGCTGCATATAATCTTCTAACGAAGGGGACGAGGATATTGCATTTTATCTGAGGACCAAATTATCAATCCTTTTTCAGGAGCTTACAAAACTGAGTGGTTCTCTTTTCTTTCACAGAATTCCCAAATTTGATTTTAGTGATGATTCAGACTACTATGATTCAGAGAAGATAAGATGAGTACATGAACAGTGGGATGAGATTGAGAAAAATGCCCGCAGAAAATGCACAGAACCTCGTGATGAAAGGAACAAGAAAAAGAAAAAGTTATAAGAAAAAAAAAGAGAGAAAGGAGAAAAAAACACAAACAGCGTAGAAAAAAAGAGCGTGAAGAAAAGGAGGTTACTGCTATATCAATACAAATTCAAAAGACAAATATAAATAAAAGTGTGTTCAAATGTGCAAATCATCAAAAGGGTAACGTTACAACTCACCCAAGGGTAGCTGACTCTCCAAAGAAACCTAAAAACATCCTGGTTAGAAAGTGATTCCCGACACCCCCGAAATTGAACTTGGTAGTGCGTTTTTGTTCGAAGGTCAAACAAAAAGTGAAAAATCTGAAGCCAGGCGCGTAAAGCAGCGAAAAAGCTGTGAAATGGTGAAGAAAATAACGGTACTTCTAAGAGGATTCCAATTCCCCTCCTCAAAATGTCAGTGAAATTGTAACGAACTCTAAAACTAATATTAATATTTTAAATCTAACCGTCACCTCCTCAGACCTGCATAACGCACCTTCCTGAACCACCGTCGAAGAAAACTTTTTTAAACTCAGGAGCATGCTCGAAAAGGTAACGAATTTGCTCAATTTGTAAGCTACATAATGCATTGAAGAGTACACCAAAAGCTATTGCCTTGATCAAATAGGATCACCGATGTTATGGTAAAGATCATATTGTTTATCACTCTTTAAAGAATTTGAAGAAGCACTGGAGCGATGCAACTCGCCGTTTCTTTAGTTCCAAATTGAGCCGAAGGGATATTTTTAGAAAAGCTAAGGCCTTGTGAGGTTTAAAGCGTTTCAGCGAAGCAAAAACGCTCTCAGTAAAATCTTGAGTTGGATCCTCAATGTTCAGAGGCTCTCACGAACTTTTCGGAGTCAGATTATTACAATTGCAGGACTTTTGGTATTGACAGGACGCCCTGTGACATGCCCTCTTCAAATCATAAGATGATATCCAGGGGGCAATCGAATTTTTTGTTGTCATCCCAGTTTAAAGGATAACATGTCTTTTAACAACCCCGATTATGAAGAGCCTCCCCCTCCAACCTCCACAATGCCCGCCCTCCCTATTACCCAAATATTTCCCCACATTCCTCACACCAAAGGTCTACATTTTACCCGTGATATCGGCGACCGGATCCTACAACGCATCTCCGATCAGAATGCCCTCTGTGGCACCGGGAACCAGACCCCACCATGATGCAAATGCCAGTCAGGGTACCAATACCGTACCCGCGCCCTCAGAACATGCACATGAACAGCATCCATGAGCACCATGATGAGGATGCCAGCCAAATGCAATCTCCCGTCCACCAGCATCTCCCCTTCATCCAGTGAAACCCACAATCAGCCAGCCATGAAGGTGCGCCCCCAACACCATGGCAGTCCGACCTGACCCAAGCCTCAGCATCACAACCTAAATGTTTAGGCCCCACAGTGATAACCACAGAACAGCTAATGGCAAATCTGACGTAAAGTTGATCCTCGCGATTACCCACTTTGGATTGGGCATTGTGACTCAAGAAAATAACAGAAAAGGATCTATAGATGTTTTTAACAAAATATGGCAAAGTTTTGCGGGGGTAGGGGAGCATCAAAACTCACGTAAGCCTCTAGCGTACTCCTTTATTCCTTTCATGAGGCACGAAGATGCCAAAGGGCTTTTAATGCTGCTCAAAATCACGTGAGACAAGGAGTGTCCCTCTGGACGTTAACTGGAACAAGATCCAACAATCGCGTGTGGCCACTGGTTTACGGGGCAATTGTCCTTAATAGCA